TACTATTTCACTAAAAAAAGAACAAAAAGTCAGTGGCGTACATGCTTTTTTAGAAAAAATGTCCTAGTGATAACCCATATGAACGTCCCTGGTGAATATGTTGACACTTCTTTAGCTTTAAAATATGTCGCATTTATAGTAACTTTTACCCTTAAAATTTCATTCGCAACGCTAAAAGTACTTGGAAGAAAATTACAATAAATCGAAAAAATATTAAGATTTTAACACCCTGTAGCTACCAAACAAAGCACAATCGGATCTATTTTGATATGAAAAATAAATCTTACTTTTACCTGAGGAATCTCCCCACATGTTTTATGAAACACCCTGTATAATAGAGGATATTCTGTTTCTCTGTTGCCTCCTTGGATTTGAGGTCAATTCCTATTGTGAAGACCTGACCATGGCCGTCGTCCCTCGAGTTGATATACCTATGCTCGTACCTCGAATTTGTAGCACCCTGTATTTTTAAAAGAACGTTTGAAGGAAATTGATATTAATATTCTTTTTTTTATTAAGATTTTTTTAACGCCCTATCTAAATTTTTAGTACCTACACATATCTATCACCATACATACATTTGCAGCTGTTTTATTTATGTATTAAAACATCTAAGCAAGAAGCGAATCTCTTTAAAGTTGCATTACTCGTCTTACTTTTAATTCGCTTAAATTTAGATCTTTGTAAACAGAGAAGCGGAATATTTCCTGGTCGTCCTAATGGCTTTTTTGTTAGTTTATGTCTTTGAAAGTATGAAAGCCGATAAGTAGGCATTTTCCAAAATTTTCTCTTAGAATATCATGCTCTGTAGAGAGGACTTCGCATTTTGAATTATATCATGAGTTTTTCACAAGTACATGAGACACAGGTTAGACTTAGATGTCATGAAATAAAATGACTTCATAGACTGAGACTGTCTTTAATTGCAAGTTATTATTGCTCAGTTGAACCATCCTTATAAGCAACCAAAATATCAACAATCAAAACATTATGTTATCGAACATTCATCATATGCAGAGACCTAACGTAATGCTGAAATCTATACTAATATATAAAATCCTTATGTGACTGACATACTGATTAATCACGATCCTGGTCAAACCACTCAACGTAAGAAGCTCAGTTTTGGCATACAGGTTGATTCTAGGGTGTAGAGGTTCGATAAGAAGGGATTTTACGAAATTCCAGTTTCAAGAGGGTGAAACCACCCCTCAAATATTACAATATTTTTTATTTAAAAAACGGTCAAGTTTCCGAAAAAACGCTTAAACACGTATATTTTATTTTGTTTTTGTACATATTTTAAGATTTTTTAAAAATGTATACAGGGTGTTTCGAAAAATCAGGTCATTGATTAATCACGATCCTGCTTAAATCGCTTGACGTAAAAAGCTGATTTTTGGAAAACGGATTGACTTTAGGGTGTAGAGGTTCGATAAGAAAGGATTCTTCGAAACTCGAATTCTAAGTGGGTGAAACTATTCCTCAAATATTAAAATATTTTTGATTTAAAAACGCGTGAGTTTTTCGGAAAAACTCTTAAACACGTATATTTTATTTTGTTGTTTTACACATTTTAAGATTTTTATAAATTTATACAGGGTGTTTCATAAAATATGACCATTGAGTAATCACGATTCTGCTTAAACTGCTTGACATTTAAAGCTGATTTTTGGCAAACGGATTGACTGTGGGGTGTAGTGGTTCGATAAGGTGGGGGTTTCTCGAATCTCAAATTCCAAGAGGGTGAAAACGCCCCTCAAATATTACAATATTTGTTATATAAAAAACGGTTAGTCTTTCAGGAAAACACTTGGACAAACATAATTTATTTGGTTTCTTTACATATTTTGAAATTTTTTAAAAAATCATACAGGGTGTTCCAAAAAGTTGGGTAATTTCTTAACCACGATTCTGCTTAAACTGCTTGACGTAAAAAGCTTATTTTTGGCAAACGGATTTTTCGAAAGTCAAATTCCAACGGGATGAAACTACCCCTCAAATATTACCAAGTTAATTGTACTGAAGCTGTGGTTGGTTCCTTGTGAAACATCGTTGAAATATTAGTATTTTAATAAAACACGCTTTTAGATGTACCAAAAAACTTTTAATAAGAGTAACTTTAACTCTACATATATGTTTCGGCTTGTTAGGTCTTTTTCAAGACTTTTCTAAGAACTAATCGTCTAACTACACTGTAACTATATATATATTTGCTATGGGGGTTGGTTCTATTGTAAACTCTCTGAACCCACCCCCATAGCAAATATATACCTATAAGCAGACGCCGGGACCTAAGGAAGACAGAGATAAATAACCGATCGGCGCGTACAATTACAATCGCCGCGCTAATTCAAACTAAATTTCTGTTACATAAATAATTAGATAAATTGTAAATAAGTTATAAATAGTTCTTTAAGTCTTTTAATCGTTATTGTTTTTGTTAATTAGTGTTAAATAAATTGTGTTTAAATAAATTGTGACTTTCTATCCACACGGAACCGACGAAAAACGTAACAATATATTTAAGCTTAAAACATTTGTGTCATTACAATTTTTGTTTCAATTTTTTTCTCAAAAATAGCGTGATTTGTGTTTCTTTTAGAAGTTATTCTGATTTAAATAAGATTTTGAGTGTCTATATTTTACTAATATGTGCTTTGATATTTGACTTTCACACAAATTAAGAAAATGTACAGAAAAGGTGAAAAAAAAAACACGATATATATATATATATATATATATATATATATATATATATCGACGGCGTCACGAGAAAAGGGCGTAAGCGCCATTCGTCATTTTTTTCAGGAGACGAAAAAAACGTCTAAAATCTATATTTTTTATTTTTTGTGAATTATTTCTTGCTACAGTATTATAGATTATATGGCACATTTTTCAAGAATTTTTTGCTTATAAAATATTAAACTGTTAATTAGTTATTTTAATATTTGGCGCTTACGCCTTTCTTTCTAGGCTCGATTGGCGTTTACGTCTTTTTGAAAGGCGTTTAAGACTTTTGTGTCTTATTATTCTAGTCATTTTTTGTCGTTTAGGTGCACTTACGCCTTTTGAGTTTTACAAATAAAATTAAAAATGTCGCTTGGATTTTTTAAGAAAACACAGTACAAAATACTCAAACTGATACTTTCAATATTTTCAAACTCATTAGGCTTGAAATAATAACTGGAAAATTAAATTTAACTAATATTCTGAGCAAAACACGGGTGAACTTGATCCGTATTCCTCGTTGGTGGCAAAAGGTGGTGCTTCTAACATGAATAATTCTGACTCAAACAGCGCATCATGCTGCAATGCTTCTGCCAGAAGATCTATGATATTGCTCTCAACCTCAACCTCTTCATTTCCACATTTTAATGCCAAATCTCTGATTTTCTTCCCGCGGGAAGTCATTATCACACTGTGGAGAAAAAATATAAAAAAGGCTTAAGCGACATCAAAAAAATCAAATTTCAAACAATTATTACAATCAAGAAAAAGTCCTTTGACTTGTAGCAAAGGTTTTTTTGAAAATTAATATTGTATACAATTTAGATATTTGACAATTTTTTGAAATCTGTTGAACGGTAGTTTTGTTAAAAGCAAAAAAATATGCCATTACGATCACATAGGCGGATGGCGCTTACGCAAACCAAGTAAATTAACACGAAAAGGCGTAACCGACAATAACAAATAAATGTCGGTGTTTACTATTTGAATTAGATTGAAGCACAAAAAACAATCTAGGCTACCAAATATGAATAAGACCTATCTTATTAATAAGTTTTTCTACGTACCTTTGAATGGAAAATGGTATTTTTTCATCCCAGGCTTAAGCGACCTTCCAACACGTGTGAATGGCGGTTACTGATTTTCGCGTCGAGTCTGGTTTGAAGGTGTATTGGCGGTTAGAAACTAAAACTGTCTTTTTTCTCACGTTATGAATTTTTGCTGGTTAAGCCGTTTCATAGATAGGTGCGCATTTATTAGTATTACATTTTGGAACCATAATCTCATTTTCGTTATTTTGGCGCTTACGCCCTTTTGTCGTGACGCCGTCTATATATATATATATATATATATATATATATATATATATATATATATATATATATATATATATATATATATATATATATATATATTTTTTTTGGAGATTTTCACAAATCTAAGATTTGTCAGCATTCATGGGACACAGGGTACAGAATAAATTTTAATAACGCCAAAATTATAATGAAAGAAGCGATAGCCTCTAAAAGAAAAATAAAAAGGTTTTTTTAATTCAACCTAATAAAAATAAATGTATTGCTCATGCATCTGTAGATGTTAGTAATGTATGGAAATCGCTTCTTTGATTTTAAAGAACATAACATAAATAACATAACATACGTAAAATTTAAAAATAATCATACAGAAAGTTTGGGGCTTTTTGGTTTTACCTTATTAAGTAATTGTTATCAGGTAGTAACTGTTAATTTTGAAGTTTAACTCATGTTTAACTTAATACAATGTCATTTTAACAGAACGTCAACGGTTTCTTGTATAGGTATCTGTTTTAAAAAAGTAAAGTGTTCTCGAATAGTTGAATTTTAAATATTTTAAATAGTTTTTTTCTTTATTCTTTGTATTTTTTTCTTCCGACGACGGAAAGAGATAACTTTCCGAAACGTTAAGCATTTTTTTCTTTGTTAGGCAAATTTGTATTACTGTAAACATAACTTCTGACAAGCAGCGTCCGTTTAGGTTTAACGCCCAGAAGTGTTTACAAAAAATAACTATTTTATTTTGTAGATTTTCTTGCAGTGCAGTGGCGAAATACCCATAAAGGATTTTTTGGATAGATATATGTTATATATGTTAAGTCCAGTGTTTACTTAAAATATTTATTATAATTTTTAAAATTTATAGTTTTATTGACTTTATAAAAAATATTGACTTCTTGTGACATTTCCAGAAGTTTGAAAAACTTATCCCGCCACAAAGATATATACATTACTTACCTTTGATAGTTGCGTTTAGGCACTCCCAAAAGGCTACCTGAAAATATAATTTACTATATTAGAATATTGGTTTTTGATAAATAAATATGAACAAAAAAATATTTAAAAAAAAAATCCAAATTAGGTATTATTAATTTGTTTCTAGTTTCTGTTTTTTTTTATCAAATTATAAAGCAAAATCATATACCAAAGCAATATTTATTATACAGGGTGAGTCTTAAATAAGTGCAAATATTTTTAGGGGTTAACACGATTATGAGGATTTAACATAGGTAGTAGATTAAATTTAATTATTATTATTTAATTTAAGAAAGAAAACACTCAGAAACGATCCAGTGGTTCTCAAAATTTAAGTAAAAAGTCATTTTTTTGGAAATTTTAAAAGTAAAATAACTCGGTTATTTTGGTCTTAAAAATGGTAACGAAAAATATGTTTCTTATATTGAGATTTCATTCAGACCAGAAAATCAAACCAGTCATGAAAATATTTGCACTTATTAAGACTCACTCTGTATAATTCATATAAAGGCTGTTCTGCCAACGTTCACAATTACGTCATCATTATTTGTCAAATATGAGCTTTATGGTGTGTCTATTCTTTTTCGGCATTTGTTCATTTTTTCTTGAACTATTCATCAGTTACGATACCTTTAATTCCAATCCTTTCGACTGTTGAAATTCCTATTTCTAAAGCATAAGCTATTTTATTTAAAAACGTATTTTTATATTACGTATTAAACAATTTGTATTTTGCACATGAATATTACACTGATTACACCTTTACAATCAACTTACTTCATATAATACAGCGTCCACGGGCAAGAGTGTTCTAACAGCGTCTCTTTTTCGAGAAAAAATAATTTATAAGCTTAGCAATGCTCATTTTGGTTAAATCTTTGAGGCATTTTTGCAATAAAAAAATTGAGTTTTTGTTTTACAGCAACAATCAAATTTTAGTTTTGACATTGACCGATTTTGACATTGATCCGTCAATCAAACGATAACGCTAAATTAAAGCGCTAAATCAAATGACAATGACAATTACTAAAAGGAAAACACGTTTTGACATTGATCGATGTCCGTCAATAAAATTATAACCCAAAATCAAATGACAATGACAATCACTAAAAAGAATAAACAGGAATTTACAAAATGCTGTAATGACGTCACCCATCTCTTTCATCTGGTTGGCAACTGATTGAGAGAGTTCGACAATATACGTGACGTTAAACGATGGCTGAACATTCTCTACCTATACCTCAAGCAGTGGCGCAGCTACCGGGGCCCCAGGAATTGGCTCCGCAGAGTTCTTACTAGCATTATTTATGATAAAGTTTTTATTAAATTATTATTATTTATGATTGGGGTTTACTCAGGGAGCCCCGAAAAATATCTTGCATCGAGGCCTCCTGTTGTCAAGCTATGCCACTGCTTGTATAAGTTATAAATATATTTTTATTTACAGGGTAGTAAAAACAAAGTTTTCAAAATTTCAAAGTCATGATCAATATAATTTATTATACAAATGTTAATAACATACTGCTTTATTATACAGGGTGTCCCAGAAATAAGTGCAAATATTTTAAGGGGTGGTAGTTCTCGATAAAAGAAACATATTTTCACTTTATCGTTTTTCAAATAAGTCCAAAATAACGGAGTTATTTTACTTTGAAAATTTAAAAAAAAATATTTTTTGCTAAAATTTTGAGAACCACTGGATCTTTTCTGGATTTTCCTTCTTGTAAATTTAATCTAATACCTATGTTGCCATATTATCAAGAAATTATGTTTTTTAACTAAAAACTAAAAAAAGTTCAAATATTTTGAACTATACTACCAGTTAAAATATTTGCACTTATTTCTGGGACACCCTGTATAACATCTTGATCGCCCCGTAGTACTTAAACTTTTTTGCTGGCATAATGTTAACAAATCAATGAATGTGAGCTCTTACTTGTAATTGTTTACATTCATTGATTTTTGGCTTTTACTGTACCATACAAAATGTTTTTCATTGTCACTCATATTCAGTACATCTTCGATATATCGCTCAATTTCAAACTAAATATGCAAAAACATGTACAGGGTACCATTTAAAATTCTTCGCTTAGGTTTACTTCCGTTTAAACCAGAAGTTACATTCAATTATCAAGATGCAATAAAAAAGACAAAATACAAATTTTGAAGAATTGCAGTTTGGTGAGGTCATAAATATGCGCCTTTCAGATTTTTGAAAAACTTCATGGCTTACTAGATATTTTGAAAAAATCAAAATTTGGCTAATTTAAAAATTGTCCCTCATTCCATTATAATCTATTTTACACAAAAATTTTCAGATAAAAGTTGTAGATAATTACATCCTTAATGAGATTGCATCATCCGTTTTTTTCTAAAGCCTGTCATTTTTGACATATGACACAAACATATGTTTTTTTTAAATGGAAACCATAGTTGGCCATGACTTTATAAAAAGCGTCATTTTTTAAGCTTTTCAGCGATATAAACTATAATATGTTTTTTTTTCTCGAAAAATTACTGAGTTATAGCCAATTCTTATCCTTTTTAGAAAAATTTCACTTAGTTAGCCATGGAAACAAGTTCAATCGTCGTTGCCTTCAGAAATGCAAAACTGTCACATCCAAACTTTGTAAATTAAAATAAACAAAAATTATAAATATGAATTTTTTAAATGAAGAAGTGTAGGATTATTGATTCAACTTTTCTTGGCCATACATTTTCGACGATACGTTAACCGGTGAACGTTACTTACGTTTTTTAGAGAATGGTTTTCAAGACATGTTGCTGACATGTTTTCAAGACATGAAAAGCTAAATTTAGATAGCATCAATATAGTGAAAAAATGTCTATACCTATGTGGCGGATTCATCTTTCCAAAAAAATCCTTTATGGGTATTTCGCCACTGCACTGCAAGAAAATCTACAAAATAAAATAATTATTTTTTGTAAACACTTCTGCGTTAAACCTAAACGGACGCTGCTTGTCAGAAGTTATGTTTACAGTAATACAAATTTGCCTAACAAAGAAAAAAAATGCTTAACGTTTCGGAAAGTTACCTCTTTCCGTCGTCGGAAGCAAAAAAATACAAAGAATAAAGAAAAAAACTATTTAAAATATTTAAATTCAACTATTCGAGAACACTTTACTTTTTTAAAACAGATACGTCTACAAGAAACCGTTGACGTATCTGTTTTAAAAAGTAAAGTGTTCTCGAATAGTTGAATTTAAATATTTTAAATAGTTTTTTTTTGTTAGGCAAATTTGTATTACTGTAAACATAACTTCTGACAAGCAGCGTCCGTTTAGGTTTAACGCAGAAGTGTTTACAAAAAATAATTATTTTATTTTGTAGATTTTCTTGCAGTGCAGTGGCGAAATACACATAAAGGATTTTTTTGGAAAGATCAATATAGTGATTCTAACATGACTTTCAACCCCCCCCCCCCTCCTAATGAAAGACAGACATGTTAAAAATTATTTATATCATAATTATGCAAACTCAGGGCTCGGAAGAGGTGGACCAATAATTGCATTTCTAAAATAAATTAAATTGTATGGGGTAGTGATATTATTTTTTAAGTTATAGTTAGCGTAATGTAAATTGTAAAGAACCGTTTTATAATATATTCTGTCTTTTTAGAAGTTATAAATCAAAACAGAATAAGAATACTACCATGCCAACTAAGTGAAATTAATCAAGAAAGATAAGAATTGGCTATAACTCAGTCATTTTTCGAAATATACATACTAGGTATACCTTATATGGCTGAAAAGATTAAAAAATGGAGCTTTTTATGATGTCATGGCTAACTATAGTTTCCATTAAAAAAACATATGTTTGTGTCATATATCAAAAATGACAGGCTTTAGAAAAAATCAGAAAACACAAACTTATTAGGTATGTGATTATCTACAACTTTTATCTGAAAACGTTTTGTCTATATAAAATAGATTATAATAGCATTAGGGACAAGTTTTAAAATTGCCAAAATTTGTTTTTTTCGAAATATCTAGTAAGCCATGAACTTTTTCAAAATTCCGAAAGGTGCATATTTATGACCCCACAAAACTGCAATTCTATTCCCATTTAACCGACTCTTTATCTCCAGTAGTTTTCGAGATACCCATAGAGAACATCGTAGAAAACTCATCCTGTATATCGACAACTTTTTTAGCATTAAAATATGTCGCACTTTAGTAAATTTTACCCTCAAAATTTCATTAGAATCGCTAAAAGCACTTAGAAGAAATTTATAATAAATCGAAAATAAATAAAAACTTTAACCCCCTGTCGAAACGAAACAATGCAGAATCGGACCTATGTATGTTGATATAAAAAATAAATCTTATTTTTACGTGAGGAATCTTCCAAGAAGGGATGAGCCAGTTTATAAGTGTCATAAGACAAAGGTATCTGTTAATAAGTATATTAAAATCTTATTTTACTAGTTCTTTTAAAAATCTACTAAAATATATATAAATTTCTTCATAATCTATCTGTGGTGGTGCGTGTATAAGAATTAAAAATTCAGATTAGAAGTTAACTGTTACGAGAAATCTAACATTTCTTGAAATTTAATGAAATGGTTTTCAATTAATCTAATTTCTAAAGTGAAATGACGAATAACATTGTCGCAAATTTAGTTAAAAACAGTATAGTTTTACAATTTGTTAGCATTTAAAAACAATATAATTTACTTTAGCCGGTCCAAAAAAGCTGGATTATTTTGAAGCACTTCCTGTCCTCTAATTTTAAATCGGTTTTATTGCCAGATGTAAGCTTGGCCCACATTTTATCATCTCCTATCCTCTTTACTTTTCTATTTTAACGTTCCAGTTTATCACATAAAGGAACTGAAGTAGAAAAAAGAAACAATTTATCAAACCGTTTTGCTGATACACTCCACTCCCATCTGGTAAATTGCTTTTGTCACTTGACAAAGTGCAGTTTGTTATAGCGATATTCTTTAAAAATATTATGGCAAAAAGGTTCCTAGGATGGTTTGATTTTTAGCAGA